AGACGGGCGCCGACGCTGACGAGACGGAAGACGAGTGGCACGTGGAGCGCTACCCTAGTATCCCACAGATCTGGGATCATAGCGGGGAAGAGGACGATGGCGACGATGAGGAATTGCATGGGTTGGCGAGGCACATGCTCGCGGGCGAATTTTTGGGGATGACGTATTCAGATAAGACAAAAAGACGCAGGAGGAAGACGATGAGGAGGGCGAAGAAGAGGACGTGACTCCCTCTCCACGCCGACACGTGCATCACTTGAATCTCGGCTCACTCTCCCGCGAAGTCTTTAACAGGATCTTCTCCACCGCCTCCGGGCTCGTCGACACCTCCACCAGACTCGACACCTTCTAACTCGACGCCTCCCTGCCAGATTCATCTCACCCTCGCCAGGCTTCCTCTCGCCGCCTCCGAATTCTGCGCCACCACCTCCAGGTTCTTCTCCACCCCTCAGCGCTCTCCTCCGCATCCAGACCCGACACCAGAACCTGACCCGGACCCGACATGGAGAGTAGAGTACTTCGATCATTGCGCGGGGGAGGTCCCCAACCCAAACCATTCACCCGGAGGCCCATTCAATGACTACAATACACCCGTCAAAAGACGTTGTCCTGGACAATTCGTACTTCCCATTCGAGGCCGAGATGGATTGGTGCGTTGCAGACTGGGTAAAGACTCACACGATTGGCCCTAATCGGTCCTCCGCGCTGCTTAAGATACTGGATGGTCAGTCCATCAATGACTGCTCTGTCCGCCTTCACTGACGTCTCTATAGCTCGTTTGAAAGCGCAGTCTTATACTTCACGACGACTAAGGCCTCAAAACCATCGTGGACGATCAGATGCCGTCTCCCGACTTCAAGCGCCGCACGTATGTCTTCGGAGGGGAGCAGCTTGACTTGTGCGTGCGAGACTCTCAAAGTACTACGCGAGCTTTACGAACGGCCGGCCTTTGCGCGTTACATGGTCTTTGCGCTGGAGACGCAGTTCATGGGTGAATGAGATGAGGAGGAGAGGGCGTGTTCTTACATGCGTACTGAATCTTGGTGGTAGTGGGTCCAAGTGCGTACACTATGCTCCATCAACTGTGCTATGCTAACATTATCACTAGAAAAATCGAAGTGAAGCGGCTTGGCGCCACCGTCGTGCCCTTCATCATGTCTTCCGACAAGACACAGCTCACTCTCTTCCGCAACCGTCCGGCCTACCCTGTTACATCACCATCGGCAATATCCCGACGGACCTGCGCTACAAGACTTCACCTGAAGGCATGGTGCTTCTCGGGTCCCTTCCGGTCACCAGCCTGAAGGGCATCAAGAATGACGACATTCGACGTCGCGCGCAAATCAGCCTTTTTCACCGAGGCATGACGGACATTCTGGCGCTGCTCAAGGCCAAATCGAAGAAGTATGTGGTATTAAGACGTCGGGTGGCGGCGCAAGGCGCCGGTGCCACCCGATTTTGGTCGCCCCCCGTTGCGGATTGCCCCGACAAGATCCTTGTAACCCGCGCGAGGTACTACGGTACATGTCCCAAGGGAACTATCGACCCTGCTCTCCTTGGTCATGATCTGCCGTGTCCACTGAGAAACATGGGCACCGCCACCGCGGCACTTCACCTACGAAACGACGAGCTTGACGACGCTGTTGAGTTCATGAAACTTTATTACCCCAGACTGCGACCCGTTACGGTGCCGTCGACTTCGAGCGCGTCCTCACGAAATTCGCCCTCGAGATCAAACAACCTGACGAGACTGACAATCGAATCGCTGTGCGTGCGGGGATGTTCCGCTTACCTTTTCCGACGGTCCGCGCCTATCACCGCCTTGAGTTTTGGGATCAGCCTTGGAGCGCGAGGGCGTACTTGTGGCCGCACTTTCCGATGCCGTGGTTGCTCGACCTCGTTGTATGGACACGCAGGGGCGATGGGTGCCTGGGCACTTTAGTACAGCACTGTGTATCGATGATGGCGAACGTGGCGGGTTTGAAGGTGCGCTCTCGATTGACATCCCCGTCGCTCTCTATTTCCACTTCATTCGCTCACGTCGTCTCATAGGTTACCCCGTGGGGCGTATACGCTTCATTTTCCAGCTCCCCGGAAGCTGAGGCTGGTGAACTCTTCCATAACCCCGGCGTCCCCACGCATTTCGCGTATATCATGTAGTTCACAACTTTCCGCGATGAATACAAGCGCGAAGATCACGAGATGTACCACGTCAAGCGCGATCTCCTCGGTCCCCGGCAAGAAAGTGTCGTCTCGATTCCTCCTATTGAGCACATCCGCTGCAGCGTCTCCCCTCCCCCCTCGCATTCTGGACGAAGCACAACATCTTCTAGAAGTGCGAGTGCTTCAACGTCAACCCGTTACACGATAGGCATGTATACATTCCTATGAAGTAGGGCTTTGCATGCCTCTAATATAATGTGTTGTTCTCTCCCTGGTTTCTTCACTGCGATTTCGAATGATTTGTTCGAGTAGGCTACGCCGTGATCTTCCGGTGGCACGTCTTGCTTTCGATATTCATGAGCTGTCCCGTCTACACGATCACGTCGAAGCGCGAGAACCGAGAACATGGCGCGTGCGCGGCACACATTCTCTCCTTGATCCACAACCGCCACCTCCTCCGCCCGCTCATCGCGTTTCCATCCCCATCTCACTCCGTCCGGCCCGTTCCTCCGTATACATAAGACCCTTGGGCAGTCCCTGGGCAGTGCATCGCTTCCCCACGCCACGTCGATGGCCCGCGCGCCGCCCACCAACTCCACGCCAGCCGCCCGGCCCAGAAGCTCTCACCCAACAACTTCACAAAGAGAACAGCAGCTGATCAAGAGCAAGAGGAGAGGGAGAGGGAGGAGAGGGAGGTACAGGAATCCGATGACGTTCCCGCCGCCACCGCATCGTCACAGCGCACATGTCGCATGCGCTCCCCACGCGCTCCCCACGCGCCCCACTATACCTCAGCCGCGACACACCAATCAGCCTGCACAGTTCACGGACCGTCTAACACCGCTGGTCACTCCCAGCCCGGCCAGATGCGTAAGTCGAGCCTTGGTCTGTCGAGGGCTATAAGATAGCGCCGGCAGTGGCTAAAGATATAGTGCACTTTGCACCAGGTGTTCACGTCACGAGGAACCTCGGACTCCGAGTAGGGCTCGCGACTTAGCGTTCTCGCCTGAGACGCTCTAGGCACCCAAGACGGAGGACATGACAGGAGCAGTTGGCCGAGCTTGAGATACATGTCTATTTCCTTTACACGCTTGCATCGATTAGGCGCGGCCGTCTGCCGGAACCCTTTCACATGGCGATATCCTACGCTGTCAGGACTGTAGTAGGAAGGACCTGAAGGAGAATGGTGTTATGCTGGAGCTACCCGGTAGGTCGCCAGACGAGGGCTAGGAGGGTATCAAGCCGGTGCGCCGCGATTTCTTCTCCCTCAACACCTCGCTAACATACGGGACAGAACGAAGTGCATCGACTCTTTGGACCCGATATCGTACACGGTATTCACGCGGATGACTGTTATCACCTTCGTATCGTTAACGACGCGGGATCCGTTCATCAGCGCCGATTACCCACATACGCGCGGCGCCCGCGCTCGCTCGATAGGCCGCCGTTTCCCTTGCTTGTTCACTAAGCTTGTTTTGTTCTGTCTGCCTTCGTACCATTCTCACTTCACGCATACGCTGCTATTTCACTACACTCTCCCACCTCCGAACTGCTCCTGTATACTACTTATTGGTTGCATCTGGAATTCGACGTGTCTTGAAACCTCGAGAAATGGTGGAATCATATTCTTTTTGTTATTCGTAAGTACAGGGTGAGTGCTTGTTAGTCCGTCTGGAGTGCGTGGGCTCTCTTGAGAGGGCGCTTCAACACCGCATCAGCCGCCTTTGAGCCTAGCCAGTATTGCGGGGCCATAAGGCGGAATTCAGCGGGTTTTGGCCCTTGCCGACAATGTACCCGCCTTGGCCCGTTTTCCTCATGTTCGACTACATCCGTAGCCACTCGGGCGATCAGCACAACGACCGCGCGGACCACAGCAACTAACGGGGGGAGCCGACCGGCCCGTGCTTCGCGCAACCGTATATGCCGTTACCACGCCTACTTCGCCGTCATCTATTACTTGCACCGCGGTCACGACCAGATTTGAACCTAGCATCGCACTGCATGGCGATGGTATTAAGGCGCGTACTGGCCATGATGACGGCGGTCATGATGGCCGGCAGGAGGTGCATGCGCAGGAAGAAGTGCGTTACACTTCGCAACTCCCGCCTCTGAGGCAATGCCTTCTGACTCGCATGTCGCAAGATCCGCGAAGACAACAAATAGGCGCGTGCTGTCTCTACCGTCGCCCTTTAACCGGGTCTTTTAAGGACACATGAATCTATCCGCCGAACCGTCGTTGAGCCCTTTGCCGCAGCCGCAACCAGCCTCGCAGCTCGCAACCTCGATGCCCTTGCAGGTGTTGCCCCGCCCGACGCTCTCTACTTGGACTCTGGACGACAGGGGGTATCTCAAGGCGACGGTCAGTGAACGCAGCCGTCGCGGGGAGCCGGAAACGGATGACGTCGATCGCGCTCTTCTGCTTCGCAAGGACGAGGCACTACTGGAGATATTAAATTGGGAGGGTTTCCGGGCATGAGAGTATAGTTGACGGAAACCAGTGAAGATATCACCGTGCGGTAGTTCTCAATGCTTTACTTGATGCTATTAAGGGAGGGGACAGGCGCGACGTAAAGGACGTCGGTTCCGGCACTTCAGGGAGGCGGCGCCGCGACTCCGCGCGTGGCCCGACTGGAAGGGTTTGCGAGTACTCCGCGCTACTCGACGCTGGTCGACGTGCTTGCAATAACCCTCTGATATACTCTTCCTACTCCCGTTACGGCGATAACAAACAAATGGGACTGTTCTTTCGTAGTCGGCAGGAAACTTGATCCGGTTCGGTAACCTGAAACGCGGTCTCCGCCTTTTAAAGTCGGCGGGCGACGTCGCATTGAATCTCTATGCCGTCCATCATCTCCACCATTCGCACTGTGGGCATAGCGACCCGGCGAATGTTCGACGCGATGAAATACGGGCTGGATCCCATCGACGTCGCCCTCCCGTCCGAGTACGAACACTTGCGCCCCGAGCTGGCGCGTATAGCAGACCGCGTACTATCCGCATCCTTTAGACACTGTGAGTACGCGCCTAAGATTCTCGACTGCAACTGAGAGCTCGGTGTAGACGTGTTAGATTGGGACTCACAGGCGTACTATGATGTCACCAGGACGCAGGATGGCGGGAACTTTGCCAAAGAAGTCGACTTTCGCGAACAGTTCCGTCCGCTCGATCCAGGAGACACCATACGGGATCCGTGCATTATCGTAGACAAGAAAGGCCACGTCGAAGGTTACATCTTACCTGACACAATTGAGCCGAAGAGGCTGGTTCGTTCATGACTTTTTCATCCCCTATAGTTCTGTGACAAACGCGCGTTCGTAGCATGATATTCAACACCTCGCTCAAAACATACGGCCGTGTCTGGAACGTAACGGACCCCGGCCCGGAGATATCAATTCTCCTGACGGGTGGCGCTATAACGAAGCGTACTTTCATGCAGAGAATAAAATCTTCGCTGCGGGACTGCTTACTGCCAGTCCGGGATGGCAAATGAGGGGACACGAGGCACGTCGCCGCGATACTTCACGTTCTGCGTCAGCCCAATGAGCTGACGACCAGGTACAAAAAAAGCCCGTCAAGCCTTCCAAAGATCTTGCCACGGTAGGACGCAAAGCGTCCAAAACGCAGAGCCTGTTACAGGCGTGGATAATTGCGATGCAAGACTGCGCACTAATTCTCTCCGCCGCGCTGGCCGCCACACATCCGGAGCAATTTGAACTCAGCTTACAATGTCTAGATCATCTGTGCCAGCAACAACCACTGGCCACCGTCGCAGAACAATGGGCGTTCGCATTCACTGCTGTGTCAGTCATCAGCAACCGAGCGACTCCGGAGCATCGCGACAAAAGCAGCGGGGGATATGGCATTTACGACCTATTGCTGAGCATCGGCGGATGTGCGCGGACTGTTTTAGAGCTGCCGGGCCTTGGTCTGCGGTTTGCTTACTCGTCGGGCACGCTCGCCTTGTTCTCTGGACATGTCCATTTGCATACTGTGTCCTGTTCGGAGGAGGAGCGGATGTGCATCGCCTGTTACGCCCGCAAATCCATGTACCATAAATATGGCCTGGATTTACCGAGCGTGGTCATGGTGGAAGATCTATTATCGGCGGACTATACGTACATCCAATAGCACGCGGATCGTATTACTTCATTCGGGGGACTTGATATTCTGCCAGCGGTCATGCACATCCCGATATACACGGTAGTCCTCATCCCATATTCTTTGGGCGCCACGAAGAATATCCTGCACATCTCCCTCTAAGACAGAAAGATCTTTTTCTATGTCTTGCAGCCTTTTCTGACACTCGGCGGCTGTGCGGACTACGTCGGAAGCTGAGTTCCTCGCCGAAGACGACTCGAGAGGCGACGGCTGCGTCCCTGTCGGGACATTCGTGGGATTCTGCTTTGCGCCTCGAGTTAGCGAGGCGCGTCAGGTTTCTGTATGTCATTTTGAACGTACCGAGTTCACCAGGCGACTGTAGTGGTTGCAAATGTGCGCGCCCGCGTCGAACGGTACCCAATCCGGCTCGGCTACATGCGCATCAAGATACCATTTAGGGAATACGTCTGCCGACCACGGAGCATCTTGACCGGTCCGTGGCGGAAGCGGGCGAAAGGCCGGGAGCTCTCGTATCATGGCACCCGTCGGGTCGTGAAGAGCGCGCACGAGCTGTTGGGTGAACGGGTGCGGGGTGGGTAGAGGGTAGCCGTCGAGCCGTGTATGACCCAGTATGGCAAGCATGACGTCCTACGTGGCCAAAGCTCAGTACTCTGGAGCTTGACGATTATTACTAGTTGCGCACGCATGTCGAACGCAAAGCTTGGACGGGTTTGGATCCGGCGTAGAGTACGCGACTGGGGAGAGCCAGAACGATGTCCGCAAGATAGCCATCATATATCTCCACGATCAGCTGTAAAGTGTCCATGTTGATCGCAAAACCTGGCGTGAAATCGGGGGAGATCCCCATGGACATGACGAGGGCGGGAGAGCGGGAGAACGACGCCGCGATGAATCTCCCCGCTGTTACGCGCGGAGTTTGCCGCTGGCTCGGGCCGATGGAATCGACCGACACGTGTGGTTCCACGCAGTTCCACACACCTCTCGCGCGGCGAAAAGGAATTGCCCCAAGCTCTATTATAACCACGAAACCCCTCCGATGGACGAGGCTTATGACTCGCAACTCTGCTCCAACTTCTATACGCTATCCGCAGAGTCTCGGACGGCAGCTCGGGACGCTCGAGGGACCGGATGTGGCTTTTTGCTCCCGGAGAACATTCCCGTTCAACTGAAGGAAAAATATGTACGACGCTCGCGTTCTGCATTTGGTCCCTCTTATTGCGAGACGATGACAGGAGTACATGTCGGCCGAACTGCTGCTACGATACGCCCGTCGAGCGTCGATCATGAATCGCGCTCAGGAGCTCATCCCACGGGCGCTGACGGCAGGCCTGCAAGAAGAAGAGGTTCGTGTGCGATCTCAATCCTGTGGGTTTCTCTATAACATCACCCGTCCAGGCACGCGCGGTGCTGATGAGTGGGCGTCTGGCCGTCCTCGGGGTTCTACCCTCCGCCTTGACCAGAGACATGTCCGCCGCATTTTTTCGCGCGGACCACGGAGCTTCTGATCTGCGCACGGGAGCAGAGGAAGGCGGATGTCTCCCCGGGTTTGACGACGTTCCAGTAGGCCCTCGCGGTCAACCGGAGCTAAGTACTTTACAAGACACGTCCCCTACTTATGCGTGTTTGTGCGAGGCCGGGCACCTCGCGTCTGTAGACGACCGACGCTGGTGGGAAAGTGACGGGACAATCGACCCCGCAGGCGTATCTTCGGTCGTTGTCACTGCCAGGGCCGCGGCGTTCTTCCTTGACATGCCATCGGTGGGTGGGATGTCTATGATATCCCGTCGTAGTTTATTCATGTCCACCGGGGCAGTTCTCCTGGCCTGACAAGGAACATCTAGCGGTCGCTCAGACTCAGATCGCCCTACCGCGGCCCCTAGGCCAACTGGATAAACTACTCCATACAACATCACAGGTTCTAGCAGACCTCGCCGATATCACGCTCCGTCTCAAGGCCGATATTGATCTGCGGCGAGCCTGGCTAGCTGAGAAGGAGCAGTGACAAGTAAGTCTCCTGCAGGTCGCTGCGTGCGACGTCGATGTTGGGCTACAGATTGCGCCTCATTCTCTGTTAAATCAGACGACTTAGGGGAGCGCACACCGATGATTGTATACGTAAAAATCGCATTGTACCACGTTACTTTATTGAAACAGCACTCCCGGTCCTAGGACTTTAACAAATGACACCCTTGCGCGCTCCGCCATGCTCGTCCAGCAGCCAGCCTTGCGAAGTGCATAGCAACGGTGGCCAGGGGATAGGAAAGTCTCGCCGGAGCGGCGGTCCCACAGCGCGGCTTGATATTCACAACCTAGAATGCACCTTTCCATCTCGAGGGGCAGAATCACAAGTTCTTCTTTACAACGTTCCACAGCGCATCGCGCTTGTATCCACTTCACCATGAACGCTAGCCGCGAACACATTAGACTTCCTATCGGAGAGACGCGACGTACGGGAAGACTCACTTTTTGATACGTACGCATCGTCATCCTCTCCCGCCTTTCTGTCTAGTTTCCAAAACCAGGGTAGTTCAAATTGCCGGTCACCTGTTGGGTCGTACGTCGATGTGTCACAGCGAATGTCGGACTTTTGCATAGGGCGATATCGCTGGGCCAGATCTTCAGCCTCAGATACGCTGGGGCTTGATCGTAGCATGCGCATCCGGCAGGAGATGTACAGCTGGGCCTGCTGCCGCACCACGTAACTTTGTCCCTGGACTTTCTCCCTAGCAAGTCGGTCACGGCGGTACCCCGCGGTATGACGGCGGATTTCTTTGCGGAAGGTGTAAGCCTGTTCCACGAGCGTCGCGCGGAGTTTGTGCAGGACGACGCGGGCTTCGGCTTGACGAAGACGGCGTTCCACCTGCAATGCCCGCTTTTGAACATCGGAGAGCGTCGTATGTACTTGCGGGCCATCCCAATGTGTGGAAGGCAGATCTATAACCCGATGTTCCGCTCGAGGCCTTGTTTCGTGTTCCGATCGTCCGCGAACTTCGCCAAGCGGCCATAGTTCGGAGTCCAGAGTTATTGACGGAAGCAAAGTTTGTTCCGCACTTCCGGTGACGCCCTCGTTCGTAACGTGCAGAAGGCGCTGTAGGGTGGCGTTGCTGCGACCGATGCTTGCGGCGAGCCGCGCGCGCCATTTCTCCCGCTCAAGTCGCGCCTCCTCGGTGCCCGCTGGTTGTCTGGAAGCAACTTGAAGATAGACCCTACGTGTACATATGTCATGTATGCAAATACATTTGCCCCGGGAAGACTCACTGTTCTGACTGTAACTTCATAGCTGCCACTATAGGTCGAACGATTTGTACCCCGTCGTCGACGAGCTCTTCTTCTTGCAGTAGCTCCGCTTCAACCGCTGAGAAGTTCGGCTCTGTGTTATGAGACTTGTTGAGATGGAGGATCCTCTCCGCATCCAGCGAACCCTGGACGTACCTTCTTCGGCCGTGTCCAGGCGACCGTCTGCGAAACGAGGACCGCGGTCATCCTGTCTGTCAGCGGAACGCTCCGCTGAGGGCATAGGATGGGACCGCTTGTCTTCTATCTCCTTTCGGAGGTTGTCCCACTTCGATAGGTCTTCGCTCGTGCAATTCTCACTCAACTTCGCCAAATAAGTGGTCCGCGTCGATAGCAAGCCCGTGTATTTTTTGATCTTTCCGACCAGTGCATCTGCTGAAGAACGCATTACTTGACTGGGATACATCATCTCTTTGTTTATACTTACCAGACTTTACGATCTTCTTCCAGTTCATATCCCTGACCTTGAAGTTTATCACCTCTTCGCGATGTGCCAGAGACATCCCGCGGCAAGACCCCAGAATGTCATTCAAGACGCTCCATAGCGTCTCGACTATCTCACCATCGACGATGCCACAACGGTAGGCATACAGAGGTGAAAATCTGCTGAAGCATTCTAGAACGTGCCCGTAAATGTGCCAGACACCGACGCCAAGCAGGAGCCGTTCTAACTCCGGCCACGAGTAGCCGGCCGCTCGAAATCGATCTTCAAGATGAACAGAGTACTGGCAGTTGATGTCGTAAAGAATTTGAAGCTTTTTGATACTGCTGAAGTCGCACCGCTTAAGCACGTTATTGAGGCTGTGGTCGACGGGGATCTGCCTTAGAAAATGACTATGGGTCAGTGCCACCTATTACGTTCGAGAGCGCCAGAGGCCTACGTTTCGCCCAGGGAGAAGTTGTTTATAGCTCCCGCACAAAAGCAACCGTGACGAGCGCAAACAATGGCTCCGATCCCCTTGATATCCGTCGTGGGATTTCGCGATTTCCCCAAGTTGCTCGCTGCGTGGTGATTGTGGCAAGGGATTTGGCGAACGCGATCTCTCTGAGAAGCATTAGGTGACAGCCCGTGTTGCAATGAGGTCAAATAATCAAACCTGGCTTTGTGGCAGGGAGCCATCGTCGCGCCCCTCCAGCAGAGCTCTTGCCGCCTCGTCTGGGTGGTTGAAGGCTCCGGTGCCCGGATATAGCGGTTGGTTGTTCTCGGGCACTCGAGAAGTCGTATGCTGCGCCTCGAAGTTTCCGTCGATGTTGAACGAGTAGAAATGTGCCCATCTGTTGGTGCGTTTTTCCCACCCGCGACGCATGTTCTCACCTGGCGAAGGGCAAATGACGCAGGCGTATAGTAAATCCCCGTTTCCGGGCGCTTGCCATTGCGCCGGGTTTTGATGCGCGAATCCGTGTTCGAGCAGTTGAACGATGACGCGATACTCTCGCCCACAGCGAATGAGCTCGGGATACCTATTCTAGAGACGGTGAGAGTGTTGACCGGCGACTCATCGTGGTTAGCTTACTGGCGCTGCGTCGGGATTGTCCGGTATCGTCAATCTTTGTAGCATTCTAGCGAAGCATTCTGCAGAGATATCTCCTTCCAGGTTATCTAGAAGAAACCTATCCAGACAACGAAAGGTAAAGCCCGATGAAGGATCTTTTCTACTCGCCGGATAAATGCCTTTCGCCACCAGTTGAAAGCTACGATCTCCTGCTCCCATACATGCACAGAACTCAACGCCAAGTAAATGAATGCCGTTATCGTGGCAAATTGTGAGGGTGCGGAGGCCTCGAGGATCGTAGCCCACGTCCGACAAAACGTGCGGACGAGTCGCATGCGTTGCTTTGGGCTCCCGAACCCACGGCCCCGCGAACGCGGCTGTCTCTGCCGGCTGACCCTCCACCTCTCCTTCATCCGGCCCATCGCGCTGCCCGAGATCCGGTTCGTGGGGAAAATGCGACTCCGCGCCGAAAGCGGGGCTGTCGTCCTCTGAAGGCTGCGACGCTTCCGTCGCAGGCTCTGAAGGGTGATACAGCGGCGGCGGGGAAGTCCAAAAGTCGTCGGGAACTTCAGGTCTACGCGTTGCGGATGGGCAGGAATTTCCTGCGTCGCGGCCACACAAAATCACGAATACCCCTGCATCCCGCAACCACGCGTCCTCGTAATAATTGTCGTTGAACCACTTGACGCGATGATACGGGTTACGCATATGCGAGGTCGCCATGCACAACTTGCACATATAGCGTTGCTCCTCGCAGTCATCGCAACGCCAGGTGGGGCGGCTTTTGCCTCCCTTCTTACACATCTCACAGTGTGAAGGAGGCGGTCGCTCGCGCTCGAGGATGGCGTACGCAATTCTAGGAGCGATGTCGTTCTCTGCAAACTCTCGGATGTAGTCCACATGCGTCTGATATATCTCGCCCATGAATGCTAGAGCGCGCGCAAAAGCGATGCAAAATCTCTCACCGGACCGGAGCCACTCTTTGCAGAATAAGCCGACGGTATGGCCGAGGGCGGTTCTTGGGGGACGTTACGGTGCGGGAAAGCCGGTAACCCATGCACCGTGGCCGGACCTCTCAGTTGCTCCTGCGTATACTGATCCCGCCTCAGCATCGGGTCTTGTCCCCCGTGAGCTTGCGGCTCGTTCTGGAACGTCCCATCGTCTAAGTAGCTGTCCAGCGTGGTCCAAGCTGTCGCGGAGAATGAAGTATCTGTAGGACATTCGGCGTGCGTGTCGACACTCGAACGCGCGTTCTCGAGGTCTTCCTTACGCCGCTTGCCTGAATTCCGTGCCCCGTCTTGTTCCGGGAAGTCGTCGCCGTAAATCATATCGGTCATACCGGTAGACCTTCGTTTAGATGGCAGAATCGGTCTGGCGTCGACGTACTGAAAGCCCTTGTCTGCGGCCACTATGGACGACGAGATGGGCTGGCGTCCGTAGGCATTGATGCGAGGTAAACGTCCGCCGCATGCTTCCTCATAGGCCAACGACGGCAGTCCCCCACGTCCTCGCCCCATCCCTCGTAGACCCCTGGGTCCATACCTGCGCGATACAGAACGAGTTCTTCCTCGGAACCATCCTAAGGAAGAATCCACTGAACGGGGAAGGGTGGTTTGGCGGTGGATATCTTCAAAATATTCTAGGTCGTCCGGCATCTAGCGCGCTGTTTAGACAACGTGATACATATCACAATCGAGGCATTAGACACCACCACCCACCGGATTGCCCATCGGCGTGGGTCTGATGGCGGTCCTCGATCTAGCAAGCGCGCAGCCGGTGCTCGAGATGCGCGCGCTGCGGTTTGGTCGCGCTCAAGAGCTGCCGCTCGGATCACCAGTCCAGAAGGATAGGTTTACCCGGGTGACTCGCAATCGTGGGATTTTTCCCGTCGGCCGTCGCGCGAATTCGGCATACGTTTTCCTGCGATGTTGCTGACGAGGCTCGTTCATCCCTACATGCGGCACCGGACAAGCGCCGCTCCAGTGATTGCTGGGGTTGGTGCGGGACGAAGAGCAGGACCGCCCGTTGTTGAGAAACTGTGTTTTGTCGTTGGTCGAGCAGCTGCAGATCCAGCGAAACTGGCCCCTAGGATATATCTTCGTACCTCAAGAGGGAAAGTGAACTTCCCGCATCTCATTCCAAGAAACACTGATACAAGGTCATTTTTGGGAGAGACGTGACTTCGTGATATATATTCGCTATACGTAGGCGGACGCTCATTATCAAGACAGACGCCGAAAAGCACGCGACTCACTGGCGCTCCTGGACTTTTTGATCGTCACAGGATTGAATGGTATCCAAGGGCGGCTGATTCATAGGGCGCAAACGGGCTCCCGCTGTCATGGAGTAGTTACGACTGCGACCCGCAATACCACTGTACCTTGTATCCATCCGTCATGACAGCCCTGGCGTACTCTGTGGAGGAAGCCCGCGAGATCTTGCTTGACCAAGTCATTACGCTCGACTCTCACATTTATCTGGAGGGTAGACGCGAAGAATACGTGCGCGCGGAAGATCATGAACGCCCCGGGATAGTTCGATCGAGTTTCCGGCACATCTGGTCGTCCGCTCACCCCGACTGGGACTGGGAGAACGAGACCGATGTCGAGAACAACTCGGAGTATTTCGAGCAGCGCGAGGCAAGTTTCTGCGCCGTCGCATTTACCCACCCGCTTCACCTTAGTGCAGGCCACGCACCATTGGTTTCGCGCGAACACGCGCATTCGCGGGGGGTTCAAACAGCTCCCGAGTGACGTGGACAAGACAAAGTGGACAGCAGAAGACGTGTGCGGTCATATATATAAAAGTGCGATCCTTCAATGGGTCGAAGCAAAAACCGGCTTCATTCCCGGCTACGCGGATGGCTTTTTGGCGGAGTACCGGTTAGCGAGGAGTAGGCTGTTCAAGTGCTTGACGAGAGAGCAATTACGCAGTTGCGAAAGAACAGCCGAGGAATGGAATGGGATCTCGGTGCCTCCACATATCCAAGCGCAGTGCGTCAAAGAGCTTGAACCAGCTGCGATGTGGCGTTAACCGGGTCGCGGTGTAGAAACTTCAATAATAAATTCGCCTCGGTATGTCGCGCCTTTACTTCTATGCTCATCAAAGACTACGGAGTGTTTCCCTTTGTGTTTTATGTCGGTGTTCCGGGACACAATGTTCCTGCGGGACTGTGAGTCTTGCTACTTAAGGCGCTGACAAGAACGCGACAAATTGACAGCGCGCAGATATGAAGTTATGCGGAAACAAGGCCTTGCGGCTCAAACCTTTCGAAGTTTTACCAAGCTAGACGATGTTTTCCGCGACATGAAGTCGTACGTCAACATGAATGTCGGTGAGGATCTCGTCCCTGTACCCCGGCCCCCGCCGCGCTCGTCGGTGTCTGGTCAGTCGACAGATCAATGATCCAGGCGCTCGATTAACCCGAACAGCCGATGCGTTGATGAAGCAAAAGACTTGCGAAATATTGCTGGCAGTCTCGATCCACTGCAGACTGCATATCTGACGAGTCGTAGATATGATCTATCGGGCCGACCAGAAAATCCCCCCTCCCATGCGATCAGCGGAGCACCTCAAAGCTCCAGAATACGAATTCAGAAAGGCGGACGTCGTCGGAGGGCGAGTGTATCTGCACGAGGAGCGACTGAGGGAGGGTTGGGAAGATAATTCAGCCCACGTATTCTATCAGCTGATACAATTTTGTCACGGCGCGTGGGATTCACCGTCTAATCCTCGGCTCCTGCTCACTATCACGACAGCCGCCATAACTACGTCAAAGCAAACGCCACCGCCTTGGAAGGCGCTCAGCGAGGATCCTTCTCGGCTCATAGCCCCGGAATGTCTTTTGGGTAGTCAACGTCGCTTCGGCGTATCGCCGGAAAAGACACACGCGGATACAAGGAACGCCTTCGTCAGGCATTGGTTTCGAGCGGTGGGTTACCTCGAGTTCCATCATTACTTTGCCAGAGGAGGGAAGTTCCGCCAGCCTGAGAGCGAGCGTTGGCACGATCTGGATAAGTACGATGAGGGTATGACGCAAAAGTGGTTGTCGAATGAACGAGAGCAGCGCGGATCTCGCCCCGGCGCCGCCACCGACGAAGCTCATGCGGCCCGCTTGAAATTTGGCAGCAAGGGTCCCCGTATAACGCTCCCACCGAACTCGCCGTATGTCTTCCCAACGGCCTTGACCAACGATGCAGTTCGACTGCTTCCCGACCCAGACGATCGCTACTCCGGTGTACCCACGACGTACGTCCCCGGAGCCCCGTCTTGGCCCTCTCCGGCACTCATTCCCAACACTACGTACGCGCGGTTACAATGGGCAACACAAATACTGGATGAAACTGGAGGTCATGCAGCCATAACGTTACTTGAGGCCTTGAAATGGCTGGCTCAATTACCTGTGCGTAACGTCGCTATATGACGAGAGACGCACTCACCGCGCGGCAGCCGATTGCAAACTACGAGTACGACATGAATTACTTCCGACCACAGGCCGGAAAAGAACGAACTTGGGTAGTTGAGGCTCTTCCAGGGTGGGTGTCCTGGAAACTCGACCGCACCTATTTGCAGTCGCAGACAGAAATCGACGATCTCTCGAGTTTCCTTCGCGCACAGGCCTGGTCTTTCACACATGAGGGGAAACGTCGCTTCGCAGGGGCTCAGATGGCATGGACTATCGGGTTGGCTGCCGTTCTGTATGTGCGAGCGCTTCGACACTCGGAGGAAGTCTGCGTGCGCCCCCCTAGTCGTTGGGCGCTATCGGGTGGTGCGCCGTGGCAGCGGCGGGCGCGCTCGTACCAATATCCGCTTAAAGCGGAAGAGTTGAGAACATTACTCCACTCCTTCAAGTGCTATCTGGAAGATCTGGGACTTTCGATGCGTCCCATCGGCCTCCCCCCTTCGCTATTGTACTGCCATCATCGCTCAAGAGAAGACTACGTTCTCGCCCTTGTGGACGACATTCCAGATCTTAAAAAACTGGCATTATTGACGTTTGCTATGGTGCGTACTTATAGAGAGAGCTCATCTCTGGATATTGACGTATTGTTTAGCCTCTGGGCGAGCCGGAAAGCTATCCTTCCCTCCCATGTTTCGTTGGAAGACCCGTATGGCAACTGCCTCATCTGGGCATCCCTCGAAGCGCCTTCAGAGACCAGATGGAGTTACGCTTGTTGGAAGAAGCGATGCAGGCCCCGATACTATTCGTACGAGAGGACGGCAGTCCACGGAGCGCAGAAGCCGGTCTCACCGCTGTCCTGGAGCTGTACATGGCTCTGTCAGAACTTAAGAGACTGGCCAACGAGACCTCAGAGCCACCCGCGTATCTGCGAAACTGGACAGCAGATCATTTCGATGAAATCAAAGTTCTCATCCCAAGGGCGCTGTCCGCATTTGCGCGTCACAGCGAACTGTTGAGTCGTGCGCTTCGTGCAACCGCGCATGAACAGGATCGCCCGCTTCCGGACCAGGATACAGAGGCGCAGGCTGTACTCCGCGACGGCGATATAGAGTTTGACATTGCCCTTCAACGACGAGATGCAGAACAGGATGCTTTACAAGCTCGGCTAGAGGCCATTGCGAGGCAGGAATTCGCAAAAAGAGAACAAAGGAAGGTCAACGCAGACTACAGACGAGACCAAAATTCAGTCAACCTGGCTGTTCATCACGCCGTACACCCTCGTAAGCCCCCCGAGCCCCCCTTGTCAATCCCGGAGCTTTTGGATGTCCATAACGAGCTGGAGTACGTTCCGTCAGACCCTCCCGAGCTACCCGTTGTTAGCGGGAAGCCGCGACGGGTGGTTCGCACCAGCGCCGGTCGCCCCCGCGGTCTGGCGACGCAGCAGACGAGCTACAAGGCGCTGAAAGCCCCCCTTATGCGCTCTACACAGGCAGAAGTGCCTGCCGTGTATCCGGCCTCATCGAAGCCTAAGGGGCAGACCGGAAGAACCCGCAGAAGGCAGCAAGAGGACGAGCCCCGTATGCCCGTCAAATACCGCCGAGTCTCGGACACTGCTTCGCGAACAGTTCCGGTTCAGGGAGGGGATCTCTCTGCTAGCTTAGACGATGAGGAAGACGACGTTCTTTTTCCTCTCTTGATATCGCGGAATAGGGACGAACCGCCTTCGCTCCCGGGCGAAGACCCCTTCCTGCGAGCCGAGAGAGAAGCTTCGCGCTCGGTCGAAGAGCAGCGATCACTCCCGGCGGCAGACGATCCGAATGTCTCGAATGACGCGGCGGGAACCAGTTTTGGCACGAGTGGGCTCGCACCATCGCGTCCCCGTGCGCGACGCAAGAACAATAAAACACCGTCGCAGCCCGGGATCAGCACGGCGTTCTCTCCAAGTTAAATCATAACACGCGGTCACGCTACTCTACATCCATATAATCTCCTGCGTCCTGTATCTCTTCTCGCCCTGCCTCCTCCGGAGCGCTGACCTTGACTTCCACTCCCTGCATCTCAGCCATAGTCCTCACGTAATCGCTCATCGCAAGACCCGTCAGCTCCATACGCATCACCTTCAAAAGCCGCACAGCCCTTTCCGCCTTCTGGATAACCTCCGCACCGTCCTGTATAGCTCGTACCTGGTGATCGTAGAGCGCTTGTCTCCACGAGGAATCGTCACGCCTGCCCATCCTCGTCGCATATTCCATATTTCGCTTCCAGTACGAGTACGGCTCTGACACTTATTAGAACTACAGCGAAGGCGGACTCGGGAAACTCACTGGGCTGTGATGTCCCTGAATACTGAACTTCAGGAAGTCTATCATCCGTTTCTACGCCGTAGGTGTCTTTCAGCGTAGGTTTCAGTACAAACGTGGCGCGCGTGGGCGGCTATACATTGACGTAAATCACACATTGGCTCGATGGATGACGGGATGTAGCTTACCATGTTGCTGTCGCGCGGTTTATTCTGGTCGTACTCCGCAGTTCTGTCAAGAAGACGTCGTTGAGTGGTTGCGCCTATGACATGGACGGAGGCCCCGCCGCCATCCTCAGCCGGATCTGTGATCATAGGGGATGCGAAACCTTCCCGGAGAGAGGGATGCATATCGTCGCCACGGCCGCGGGGAAGTGATAAGAACTGAGCGAAGGACTCATGACTATCGTCGTCCGAACCCTGTAGGCGTTCCGAGTCGGGAGCTCTTTGGAGAGGCAAGAATGGAGCGAAAGACTGATCGCTGTCGTCGTCTGATCCATGTTGAGTGTTAGGATCAAGGTGGGACTCCAGGGGCAAGAAAGGCTCGAAAGATGTGTCGCTGTTGTCGGCGGACTCTTGCCGGCGTGCAGGGATGGAGCCTCGCTGGAGAGGCAGAACTTGTGCAAACGACTCGTCGCTTTCTTCGTCGTCTTGCATCGCGTCCCGCGCACGCGATGCGAGAGCGCCCGACGTGTATAGAGATAATGGAAAGCTCGCAGTACGCTCCTGGCCCAAGAACGCTCGGTTAGAAGACCCACTTCTGCGCTGGGGAGAGGAGGACGCGGCGGAAGACTTGTCGCCGTCAACTTGTGATTCTTCCCGGCGAGGGGGCCCAGCGGGTCGCTCAAGGGGTAGGTATAGTTCAAAAGGCGTATCACTATCACTGGCAGACTCCCGCTGACTGTCAGATTCGGAGCTTCGCCGAAGGTGCACGACGCTTGCAAACGGCTCCTCGTTATCATCGTCGTCTTGCACCGCGTCCCGGGGGGTCGACGCAACCGAGCGATGCGGAAACGGTAGGTGTTGCGTGGGAGGCAGATTACTGATGCGCTGTTCATCATCGCGTGGTGTCGGGAGGCGACGGAGGCCGTCGCCCCGTTGGGCGGTTGAATATCGCGGGGTCGGCGCAGGAGCGCCGGTAGCGTTATCCACCTGCATGGGCTCGCGTAGACGCGGACTGTGAACACGCGTACGTCGAGAACTATGCGGAAAATCCCGCTGAGAGCGGACGGAGCGGGAGCCATTAGCTCTATCTCGCTCCAGCTTCCTCTCTTGCGAAACCAGGTCAAGGCGCTCGGCCGCCGAGCAAAAAGCGGGAGGATGCTCTAGAGCGGCAATCGTAACTAGCGTTGATCAGCGCAGCGCGCTTGAGTTCAAAGGAGGCTCACAGTTACCCTCCAAATCTGATAGAGACCGGGTGGCAATGGCTGGAGGAGAGCCGAGATACAGAGGCCTGTGTGCGAGGGCAACAGGCTGGGGGGGACCAGGGGCTGAACGATGTGAACGGTGGTTGAGATCAATGATACTCGGAAACTCACATGACGCTGATTGTATAACACCAACTCTCTTGAAGGATCCAACTCGGGACTCTAACGAGTATCGGAGCTCAGAAGGCAAGGCGTTATCCCGCCCCATGCCCGGTACAAGGCGGCGTTAACTGGGAGAATGATACGTAGTAAAAACTGATCGGTGCGAATATCCACCGTAAATACTACGCTCGACAATCACCGATATGAGAACTGTGCGGACGGAGCGTAGTGGCGTTCACAGAATGGCGTTAAGAAGCAACGTGGGGGCGGAGACGCGACCCTCCTTCACGAACGATCACGGGCCCGGCCCGGAAGACCCGTCGCTTGGCTCGCGCCGCGGGCGACTTGCGCGTTGACTCCCACCATCTCCATACAGAGCTCATCATCATGTCCGACGACGCGGTGCCTCACGACATGCTGCCGTCGAATTACAGAAGCAATCCTCTGCTGGTTTATCTCTTTGACCAATGCTATGCCTTCTGGAAGAGCCACCCCGAAATCGAGCGCGGACCACTCCACGGCCATCGCGTCGCCGCTGCCTACGACGCCGTCAAGGCCTTTGCGACGGAAGACGGGAGTGACAATGATTCGGATTGGCTCGACCGCATCTGCGAGATGGCGGACGTGCTGGGGGTTGAAATGGTTGGCGCATCGGTTATTCGTTTGCTCCACCCATTGATTCTCCTGTCAGACGCTGTACGAATTGGCACGCCCCGGCACTTCGTTGGACGAACGCGGCAGCTATCGGGTTTTTCGTAAGCTGTTCAAACGAGCGAATAAGGCGCCGCGTGTCGATAGGGGGAGAGCTCTGTTGAATGCCTTGGGCCAAGGCCCGACCCCGTACGTCGTGGAGGAGACCAGTTGGCCAGTAGGTCTGCCCAAGGGTCCAGTCAGATGGTGGCTGCTTCTCGGTGCGTAACTTGATTATTGGTATAGCCGGTGTCCTAATCTGCGCAGACAGCGGCGCCTCCTTAAGTTTCGAAAGCCTTCGTGACCGCGACCCTCAAAGCTTGGCCGTCCCTTCGAACGACTCTCGGAAACCCGCGCCCCTGCCCCGTAGATCGCCGCCGTTCTTGGGTGCATCTCCCCCCTCCCCCCGTAGCCGAAAGGCTCCCCGCCGTGGACTGTACGTCGACTTATTGTACAGCAAGCCTCCGAGATCGCATCAGCGTGGGAAGGGTGGCAAACAAGGAGACGCAATTCACGTGAAAATGGGAGAGGGAGATGGTAAAGGGGATGGTACGAACGAGGAAGAGCGCATGGATGTAGACGAAGACGACGATCGACGTCGGGAAGGAGACGATCACGACGGCGTGGAAAATGGAGCGGGAATCGCAAATCAAAGCGGGAAGGGGAAGGGAAGACGAGAGGTTGACGTGAACGTTGAGGCGGAGGACGCAGGGAAGGGGAGAGTAATGGAGGGAGGGCGCGGGAGGGGGGGCGGAAAGAGG